GATGAGTCGAGCGTGAGTCACGGGGATTGCCGAGTCACGTGAGAGTCCGGAAAAAGGAAAGGAAAAGGAAAAAGATAATGGATAATCGGGTGTCCGTAACATCCTGGTCAGCAAGTGGCGGGTCCGGGAGGACCTGCTGGTCGACAGGTTGCGCTTCCATGGGTTCGTCGGGTGTGGGAGCCGGAGATGGTGGCAGTGGAGGAGGGAGAGCAGAGGGGGAGCGGGGAGCAGGATCGGGCGTAGACTGGCAGGCGCGTTTGCTCGTGATTGCCTCTTCTTCTTGTTCCAGGCGACGGTGTCTACGGTTGCGGGCGAGATTAGCGGCGTCAGCGACGGAGAGGTTCTTGGGAGCGTACGTTCCGACGACGGGTGTAGGAGGGAGAGAGTTGGTGGAGGTCCAGTCGACGGGCATGGTGACTTAAATAAAGGGGGGGTGGGCGGCCCGATTTAAGAGCCCCAAAAGACAAAGGGGATCGCGCATGTGCGTGCGCGCATGTTCGCGGGTGGCATCGGGAGAATGGGGAGGCGTAGTGGGTGGGCGGTAATGGTGGTGTGCGGGAAGTTGCTTCACGCTGTGCGCCTTTCGTTTTCGCCGCGTGAAAACGATGGCGCGCTCTTGCTCTTGTCGTTCATTTCGTCACACTTGTAGGTAGCAACCAGGCTTGTTATTACAACCACTTTGTATCAGTTACATTACGTATGGAACAGATACTGAGAGAAGCCGGGAGGGGAAAGTACAGATGTGTGAGTACAAAGGGAGATTGTTGACGGGCGCGTTTACGGTCACATGGGTTCTTTATGCGCGGTGAGGCGCAGAGCGCGCTCTGCGCGCATGCGCTCCCCACTCGGGAACTTATGCATTAGGTCTCTCGGAGGAGGACCTCGGGGGCGTCCGGGTTGGTCAGGGCCGCCATCGAGCTGGCCAGCAAGCGTTTGAGGGTGCGGCGGGCGCGGGTGAGAGCTTGCGCTGCCCGCTGGAAGCGACGGTTGAGGGTGGCGCGGCGGTTGGGGTAGAACCTCTTGCGCCTCGTCCAATCATAGTGACTGTAGGCGTGTACCGCATTGGTGAGGAGTTTGGCGACTCTGCAGAAGTGGCCGTGTTCTCCGGGCTCGAAGAGAATGATCTGGTTTCCGTTCGGGCGGTTCGCGTAGAAGTACGTCTTGCAGAATGAGCCTTCGTGATGGTGCTTCGGGAGAATAACAGCCGGCAGCGAGATGGTGGTTGTAGTGGCTGTGGCGCGTCTGAAGTGCTCGAGCTCCGTGTAGAAGGTGAAGGTGTCGCTGTGCTCGGCGAGCCAGACGAGGTCCTTGAGGTCGGCGAGCGAGAAGACCATCGCCTTCTTGCGGGATTCGGCGGTGAGGTTGCTGGGTGCTAGCGGCATCACGGGCTGGGTGGTGGTTAGGGTGGCGGTTGCTGAGGGGTCGGAAGGGGAGGGGGAGGTACTTGTACCTTCGCTCCTTTGTTCAGCGCTCGCGTGTTCATCTCGCGTGCTAACCTCGCGGCATGCGCCTTGGTAGCGCGTGTGTGGTATGAGCTCAGGATGGTTCTGTATTAGCTAGTAATATCTATTACATGGGATAGTGTGTGTACATTGAGTTTATGCAGTACATATTTCTGAGTTACACGATTGGGAGGGGGATCGGGAGTTCACCACGTCGGGGCACATCGTGGACAGCGCGTAAGATCAAGCGCGTCTGCCGGTTGTAGACTTCATCATTCATCGGTGGCTCGAAGTGCTGGATATACTGTTTTAAGCCCGGGATGAGGCGACACAGGGCATCTTGCCATGAGTCCGGGTCGAGCGCGATCCGGTCCATCATATACGAGTTCGACGCTACACGGCAGGCCCAACCTTCGAGGATTTGGATCTGGAGGTTGAGATATTCGTATCCCGCTGGCGGGGAGAGGTGGGTGATGTACGGGCAAACTTTGGGTGCCCGTCGGACTAGGGCTTTGCGCCAGCATTCCTTCGTCCGGTGCAGGTGGTACCAATCCATGGCATTGTCTTCCAGCCGGGCAAGTAGGCTCTTAGCGTGATTCAGCCGTTGGTGCGATACCCGGGCATAGTGGCCTCGGAGGTTGGGGCGGTGGTGTGCAAGGGAGGGGCCACTGCGTGATAAGTTGTTGTAGGCGAGTACAGTTTGGTGCAGGCGGGAGACGGCGCCCGCACGCGCCCTGACGCGTCTGTCGTCGGAGTACATGTCCCAGGATCCAGTGGCGCCTATCGGGGCGTACATGCGGAGGTCCGTGTGCACCGAGTTTGAGGTGTAGACCTCGGCCGTACGCCGCTGGTTGTTGTTGTTGGGATCGTAGCGGAGTGCTTTCCGAAGATTTGTGACGAAAGTGCGGGCGGGGTCGGAATACGAGGAGCGTCGCAGTATGATCAGTTCCCGGAGAGTGATGGGGTAGTGGACGGGGGAGTTGTTGGTGGGCATGGTGCGTAATAGGTTTGCGCCGTGCTTCCACGGAGGTCGTATCGCGGATTATATGGCGATCTTGGCTGGTCTCTGGCGTTTGTGGCTGGGTGGCTTTCGGGGTTCGGGCTTCGTTGTGGGGGATGGGCGTGTATCCAGGTAGCGCGGATGTCGGGATGTGGCCTGGGATCTGTTTGGGGTGTTGCTGCTGATTCGGTTTTGGTGCGGGTGGGGGAGGGGGGGACAGTTGGTGTTGGCTGGCCGGGCGTGTTCGCCAGGGTTGTGAGCTGGGAGCGGTATTGCCTGCTGTTGGTTCTATGGGCGGGTTTCTAACGAATGTTCCGCTTTGGAGACGGGTCGGGGCTGGGTACCCTGGCTGGGGCTTAGGTGGGTGGCATGGCCGCGGGGTTGGCTTAACGAGCAGCGGCCTTGGGGGCTTGCTCTGGCTCTTCGAGACGGTATTTCTTTTACTTACCTAGCTAGTACCTCTCTTCATGACTCCTACGTTACTTTCCAAGCTTATTAGAACTATTCATGTATTAGAATCAAGAATATCTAGCATGATCTAAGGCGTGGGAAAGTCGAAAGCGCCGAGAGATGATGGTGGTAGGAGTAGCACTAACATTTATAAACATTGCAGTACTTATCTATATAATACAGCGAATCCAAAGTGCTACTGGTGAGTAGCTAACGAGAGCGGGTATACCGACTTGGTCGCACTCACACGAGTGTGGGAGCCGAACAAGTCCCCGAGGACTCGCACGAGATAGGTCGATCCCGTCTACGACAAAGACGATGGCGGCGACGGCGGCGGTCTCGCCCATATTGCGCCGAAGGCACGGCGGGCAGCGGCGCGAGTGGTGGTCGAAGACGAAGGAGACGTGCGCGGGCGCAATTGGCTTCAATATTGAAGTATTGCCGGTACACACAATGGAACAACAACAGTTAACAACAGCTACAACAACAGAACCAATATCAACCATCGACATTAACACCCACACTCCCAAGCTCATGCAAAAACCCCTGCCAATCGTCATCCCCACCACCATCCATACTTATAGGCTCGGCTTGGAACAGCTCCCGCAATGTCGCCAGCGAAGCCTCATCGAGCGGTGCCCCACCGTCTCCGCCACTCCCAAATTCGCCACCAGTAGACAAAACTGCATCGAGTCCATCCGAAAAGGCCGCGTCGAAGCCATCCGAGAGCGCACCCGCGTCAAATCCGTCCGAGAGCGCATCAAAGCCGTCGAGCGCAGACGGATCGAAGCCTTCTGCCGCTGCATCGAACTCGGCGAATGAGATACCCGCCGTAATATCCAATCCCGCGAAGATATCGTCTGGATCTGTATCCGTAACTGCAAGCGATGTCTGCGACGACGAAGGCATAGACTCTTGCGACGCGGCCGGAAATTCGAACAACTGGGGTTGTTGCTGTTGTGGCATCGGCAGCGCGTCCTGTGACGCATTCGGCAATGTATGCTGAGTAGGCGTGGGCAAAGAGTGCTGAGATGGCGTAGGCAGCGAATCTTGACTCGGCGTAGGAACTGAACTAGACGGTAGATCCGACACCACCGAGTCCTGGGACGGCGTCGGCTGCGAACCCTGCGAGGCTGGTGTACCCTGCTCTACAGACTCTTGTGAAGCCGTGGGCATGATCTCCTCCATGTCGTCCACGTCGTCATCGTCGTCGTCGTCTTCGGCGGGCGGACTACTAGGCGGTAACGGCGAGCTTGGCGGCAGATCGTCCGTATACGTATCCGTTCCTGGTTCTGGCATCTCCGCTACCGATGAGCTAGACGGTATACCAGACGAACTTGTCCTCGGGCCAGGACCTGAAGCGCGTCGTAGAGCCGCGAGATTTGCTTTACGCGCCGCACCGATGTTGTGTGCGCGTTGGGGTGTCGAGGCGGGTGTACCGCGTGCCAGTAGCGCAGCAAACTTTGACGGGGTAGGTTTGGGCTTGGAAGGTGTCGCGCGGGGTGTAGCGGTGAGCAGGCGCGAGGGCGTATGCGCTACGTTTGTCGTGCGAGGTGTCTGCGAGAGCGGTGTACGCGAGAGGAGAGATGTCCGCCGCGAGGGTGTCGCATTGAGCAGCGATGTGCGCCTCTTGGACGGTGAAGGCGACTGAGGACCAGCCGCGCCATCGTCATCATCCTCCTCGTCAGAGAACAGCGGACTCCCAAACATATCGCCCTCCCCATGTCCTTGTCCACCCTTCTCCGCACTCCCAAACAACCCAGCCCTCCCCGCGCTCTTCCTCAAACTGGACCTCGGCGTCCTCCTGCCCTCTCTCTCCTTATCCTTCCTCGGTGTCCTCGGCACCTTCGCAGCTTCACCCCTCGCGAACGCAAACAACGACGGCCCAGAGCCAGATGGGCGCAATGGTGACGATGAGGGCATAACAGGCGGGCGTAATGGGCTGCTCCTGAGCGTGATCGGCGACTTGACTTTGTTCTTCGCCGGAGAGCGCATCTTCAGCGGCGAGCTGAGCGCCACACGCGCGCCCGGAGAGCTCATCGTCACACCCGCCTTCCCCTTGCCCTTCTCAGCACTTCCACCACCTCCTCCAAAAGCAGCCACAGAACTCTGCGTCCTCCCGACCCTCTTCCTCCCCTTCTCCTTCTCATCGCCGACAATCTCGCCCCTCTCCCTCCTCTCTTCCAAATTCTTCGCCTTCACCTCCGCATTGACACGAGGCTGCGTGGCCGTACTCGTACGCGCCCAATCCGGTACCGTGAACTTCTTCTTTTCTTTAGGCGGCGTTCGTTGTTGTGTGGGGATGGGGCCGGTCGGGTATGTGTATGAGGGATAAGGCGGTGGTGCACGGTTGAAGACGGGAACAGGCGGTGGCTTGTGACGCGAGGTCGAAGTCGATGCGTGAGACGAAGATGCAGGTGGAGCGGACGATTTGCGCGTAGACGCTACGAGCGCCGAGCGCGCAGCAAAGAGCAATGTCTTTGGTCGCGGCGTATTGGCCGAGGACGGTGGTGGTAATAGCTCAGTATTCCTCCGATGAAGCGGAACGCCCGATGCCGAGCCATTCGACGTCAGGCTTGCTAGCTCCGTCGCACGACGCATAAGCGGCTGCACACGCGCAGGGGAAGACGCATGCCTGCGTTTCCTCCTATCATGCTCGAACGGATCGTCAATGCCGGCCTTGCGCTTCAGGTTCCTACTGGGGCTGGGTGGCGACGACGCGCTGGGAGCTACCGAGGATGTACGGTACGACGCATTGCTGGGCGACGAAGGCATGCAGAATGACGACACGCTCGCCGTCGATCCTCTCCTCCTAAACGCGTGCGGGTCCACAGCGTCCGCAGACAACACCTCGACTGAGTTTTCGTCATCGTCGCTGTCAGGCGACGGACCAGGGCTAGACGACGGTGGCAGTGACTCGCTGGGTCTGCGTGAGGGAGGCTGAGAGGCTTGGCGCGAGAGGTAGGCGCTGAACGCCGGAGGGGCAGGTCCGGCGCGGGACGTTGAGAGGAGGGTGTGCATGGCCGCTGCCACCGACGGATCGGCGAAGGGCTTGATATCTGGCGGCACAGCGGAAGGTGCACGAGACGATGATGCGTGCGAGGGTGCAGGTAGTGGTTGCATTGGTTGCTTTCGCGGCAGCTACATGATCATGGATTAGAATATAAGACGTCTCTGAAAGAACGAGCATACGCACACCACGGAAGGTAAAACCTAGTTCAAGCGACTTCTCGCCCGAAGCGGACGTCTTGATTGTACCCACAGCCGGGGTCGTACTATAGCTGTCCGTCGTAAGCGTGCTCACGAGCCCCAGTCCAATCGCTACGCCCTGCGACGCCGGGCCACCATCTCCACCACCTCCGACGGCAGCGAGAGCCGCACTCGGCGCCGACGCCGCCTCTGTCGGGTCGAGGATGTACACCGCATAATCCTTGGAGGGGTCGTGTAGTAGCTCGGGGGAAGATTTGCATATGAAATCTAGACACGGGCGGAGGCGCGTCTTTGCGAAGTTAGATGAGGGCGGGAAGCCCTTGAGAGTTGTCACGGAGCATTTGCCGGGGGAGCGAGCGAGGAGCTGGTGGCTATTGCCATCGAGTGTATACCAGCACCGTACTTGACACAGAAGAAAGTTAGAGGGGGAGGGGAGGGGACACAGAGGAAGGGCGTACCGGTGATGTTCATGGTTCGGGATAAACCTCGATGAGCGTCAAACCACGCGTCGAACATCGCAGGTGACCGTGTTTATGTCTTCCTCGACTTCATTTCGCACTTTACTCTCACCATCTCTTGCTGTTTCCCTTGCTCCAGAGTACACTCCAGCCGTAAGGACATACGAGACTTCGGTTTAGCTTGTACGGACACATCAGAGCCACCGCAAGCTCTGTGCGTGTCAACCGCGAGCCACGCGTGACGCGTAACGCTCTCAACCAACATGTGACCGCGTATTATCCTCCATCAATTCTGAGACTCGGCAACTTGCGATCAACAGCGCTCAGCCTTGTCCGAACACCGAACATTGAACGCCGCAATTGAAACGATCACAACGCCTGACGTCTCCTGCTCTTATCCGAAGCACTCGCTGGCGGTGTTATTGCAAAGCTACCTGTTGCCCATATAGACTCGAGAAGCCTGTGGAGGCGGTATAAATACGCCCTTAGACTCAAGAACGTGTCAGAGCACGTACCCCAAGCGCGTGCCACAAAGACGCGTTGCGACTCTGCCCATGGCACCGACGAGCGCGCCAACGCAGCGCGAACTCGCGCTCCTGACCTCCCTCCTCGTCGCCCTCCTCTACTTCTTCTCCGGTACCCACCCACATGCCTCATTGCCGCACAACGCCTCTCTCACCAGCGCCGATGACGACCTGCCCACCTCCGCACACTCTTCACGGCTGAGCTGGCACAACACCGGCGTAGTCCCACATACAAAACTCATATCACACGTGCCGGGCTGGACAACATTCGACCACCTTTACATGTTAAACGGCACTTTGTACATCGTAACCGATACACCGTCTGTCATTCCCGAACGCCGTTTCATCATCTCTACCGGTCGCGACATCGCCAATGGTGCCGAAGAAGTCGCCGCGCGGCTGCCTACAGACAAGGAGCTGAAAGTTATAGGGAGTAATGAGGCGAAGAGGTTGTTTGGTGGGGGCGCGAGTAGGATTGACGGCGTTACGTGGTTCGCTAACGATCCGAAGCAATTGTATGTTCATTCGTCTCCTCTCTCTCCCCATACAGTTGGCTGAATGTATGATGATATAGCGTGACGCATTACTACCACTGGGCCGCCGAGCTCTTCTTCGGTTTTGCGCGCGCCTACGCCTCCCTCGACCCCCTAATCCCCTCCTCCGGCACAACGCGCCTCCCCCCACCGCGCCGCATGATCTTCACGCACCTCCCCGCCTCGCACTGGCGCGACTACGCCTCAATGAACCAATACGTCCTGCGCACTTCCTTCCCCTCCATCGCCATGGAGTTCAACCAAGACTGGGCCGACCGCACACAATCGCTGCGCCCCTTCGTCTTCGATCGCGTTATAATCGCCGATCGAAGCGCTGCTATGATCGGCGACAATTTCGGACGGACGCAGCGCACGGCCGCGGAACCGCAGGCGTTACCAGGAAGTCCGCATTGGTGGAACGCCTACCGGAATAATATCGTCGAGGCGTCTGGGCTAGCGCGGGACGAGGCTGCTGGGACGCTCGGCAAGCCTGTTGTGACGTATATCTCGCGTCAAGGATGGGGACGGCGTATGTTGATTCAGGAGGACCACGATCGACTCGTTGAGGAGCTGTATAAGCTAAGGGATACGTATGGGTGGGAGGTCAACGTTGTTACCATGGACAAAATGAGTCGGGCGGAGCAGTTGAGGTTGTCGGGACGAACAACGGTGCGTATTTTGGCCTTCTTCTTTCCACTTCTTTAACATGACTTACATGACTCCTTAGATCATGCTGGGTGTGCACGGAAACGGTCTCACATCGTTGTTATGGATGAAGCCCACACCGCGAAGCACAGTCATGGAATTCTTCTTCCCTGGCGGTTTCGCGCACGATTACGAGTACACGACTCGCGCCCTGGGTATGATGCACTATGGCTTCTGGGGCGACAGGTACATCTCTTTCTACTATCTATACACTCGACTCAAAACTCATGCTTTGTCCTCAGCGCGTTTACCCGCCCAGACGTTCCGCCTGTAGCCTACCCTGAAGGCTTCCAAGGCAATGAGATCCCCATTGACGGCGCACTCGTGGCACGGTTGATACACGAGCGCCTGACGCTCTCAGATGAGGCCGACGACTAATCTCCGAACATCTGAGTGTATACGTCGAGAGCGATAGAGAGGATGGAAGGACGAGTGCCAGATAGTAGAGGAGTTGGCGTTCGAGCTGCGCTCGACTTGCCGCGTTATCATATACTTACAGTCGGACATTTTGTACTGAGCTAATATTTGCATGTTGCTTGCTTTGCATATCTAGAAGGAGCATGCACCTCTCTCGTCCAAGCCTATCATTTTGATGGCCCGTCGTATAAACCGGGCTACACATGGACCATGACCGGATGCAGACTGACGGCAAGGTTACGACAAGTTGTGGCCCCTGCCTTTGACAATGCGCACTGCTTGTACAGTCTATTCCTGCGCGCTCTGCAGGGTACGCTTGATTGCGTCGGCGGTGACGGGCGCGCTTTGGATATTGTACGGACATGACGCGATGATCAGGGCCGCGGCGCGGTCTACCGAGGGAAAGAACAACGTTCGATTATCCGCTTCCTCGAACCTCGGCTCCCACCCTCTCCTCCTCCTACCAGACACTATCACCACTGGCTCTCCAAGTCGTCAACGTCACGCCTCGCGAGGAGAACCCGTCGACTATGGCGGTGGAATACGTGTACGCGTTACACGACTTCCAGCCCGAGAACGAGGATGAGGTGGAGTTTCGAGCCGGCGAGCGGATCGAGGTAGTCGAGAAGGACGATCTCTACCAGGACGGATGGTGGCAGGTAAGGCCCTCTTACATCCCTTTCAACCCTTAAAACACGCACTATACACGAGTTTCATTTCTATATATGAATCTACGCCGTATATTACTGCTTTCTCAGCGACTGCGAGAGGATGAGAACGCGATGGCTGACGCGAATACTTCTAAAGGGCAAGAACCTGGCCGGTAAAACTGGGCTATTCCCAGTGAGCTACACTCAGCCCGCCCCACGCGCCCAATCGCCGCCTCCCCCTCAGGCCGACAACATCTCCGCCTCTGTCTCAGCGCCAGCAACAGTCTCAACGCACCCGAACGTCCCCTCGCCTCCACCTTCAGAGCCAACTCAACCGCTCCCCTCGATCCTGACAACATCACCCAGCGACGCCGAAGCCGAAGCCGACGAACCCACCAGCTCTTCATTATTACCACTTATCGAAGAATCCGAGCCGGCAGTGTCGACAGGCGGCAAAGTGACGCCGAACGGCGAAGTGATGCGCGCGACGATGACCGACGTCCAACAAGCGCTCGAGCAGCTCGGCCGACACGCCGACGGCGACGGCGCGCGCTCCTTCACCTTCGCCTCCACACGTGACGGCGAGAGCACAGACCACGATAGTCTGAGCGAGCGGGACGGCGAAGACGAGGAGGGCGAGGACTGGTACCGCTCCACGCGCGCCCGACTGGCCGAACGCGCGCGCCAACAGGTCGCAGAGGCGCGTGCGGCAGAGGCGGCCCGGAACCCCGTCCCTGCGCCTCTCCCGCCTATCGACGTCGATATTTCCGACGAGAGCGGTGACGAGGACGAAGACGTCACGAGCCATCGTCGCGCGCACCCGCGGATATCGGAAGAAGACGAGCGGGAGGGCGACGAGCCCAGTCCGCTCGTCGAAGCCAGCGACAGATTCATCGTTCCTTCGCCGCTGCCCACCGCGACGCAAGAGAGCTTCCCGCTGCCTCCCACGACAGTACTGGCACCTTCGCCCGCGGAGAATGCCGTCCGCGCAGTGTCCCCTCCCCCGCCCGTACCCGGCCCAGCTCCCGAAGACATCCAGCTCCCACGCAGTCCCGCGCCACAGGAGCTCACTGCGCCCGTCCCGCCCTTAGACCAGCAGCCCACGCCAACCCCATCCAGACACCCTGAGATCCCGCCTGCACTGCCCTCTCCCGTGCCCACTAGCACAGACAGTTCCACGCGCTACGGCCCCGGCGTCTCAACCCCGCCCACGAGCCACGTTCCGGAATCCAGCACGCTCAGTCCGACTACTAGTAGCATGCTCAGTCCTACGACTGGCGGATCGAGCATGCGGAAGAGCTCGCTTGCACCTAGAGGTCATCCAAGCGATTGGACTGTTGAAGAGGTTGTGGATTGGCTGAGGAGCAAAGGCTTTGACGAGGGCGTATGCGATAAGTTCATCGGTATGCTCATCTATTTCCATAATTACTCTATGATGATACTAATAACCGATATGTGATACACAGAACAAGAAATCACAGGCGACGTCCTCCTCGACCTAGACGTCAACCTCCTCAAAGCCGAAATCGGCATCGTCGCATTCGGCAAGCGCATGCGCATCGCCAACGCAATCTCAGACCTTCGCCGCCCTCCATCCGTCATATCCGATCGCGGCGGACCCGGCTCCTCCATCGCCCCCTCTCACTTCACCACGCCCGGCTCGCATTTCAATGGCGTTGGGAACGGTCAATTCGCCAGCCCTACAAGCACGAACAATATGTACGGTACGCCCGGCGCGCTCTCTACTCCTCAGTCGCAATCGCATTCCGGTCCGGGTTCGGTTACGGGTTCAGCGGGCAGTCCGTTCATACTCGGGCACGGGAAGAGCCAGTCAGTTGCAACTGCTACGACGCACCTGAGCAGCCCAAGCCCGTACACACCCGCGAGCTTGCAGCCGGCGTTCGTCGAGGAGCCTAGTGCTGAGACGAGGAGCGAAGGAGGCGCCGGGAGCGAGAGTCAGGCTACGCTTGGTCTCGGACTTGGTGCTGCTGTGGGCACTGCGTTGCCCGGTGCGCTTATGCCTGGTGGACGGCCGAACAACGTGAGTTGTACATGAATATCACTAGGCGGTGAGGAATCCGAACTGATTTGACATGTTTGTAGAAGGGCCGCCCGTCGCAGCTCACGCTGTCGCCTAGTGATAGCCAGCTCGGCGCCAGTGTCAAGGCCGTAGCTGGAGACGTCGCCGACCCCGCAAGCGACGAGCGGGGTGTGATGAGCGAGGTATGCATTTCATTCATTCTCTCTCTGCCTGTACTCAACAGTGTTCCACGTTATCGTAGAGCGAAGCATCCGCAACCAAACGCCGCCGCTCTACAAAGTCCTCCAAGAACCCACCTCCCTCAGCATCAGCCGCCTCCACACACTCGAAGGAAGGCTCCGCAACCGACAGCCCCAAAGCACACGCTCGCAAGCGTAGTGTCGACGCCAACAAGCCCGCCGGAGACCGTGATCGGCACAGTTTGTTCGGTAATGCGTTCGGTGGGACGTTAGGCAAGAGCCGCAAGCCTGCGCCGCGGTACTCTGCGTACGTTACTATACCTCTCACATCTGAGTCCACTGAAAGTACTGACAATATGCACGAAGCGCCGACGCAGAACCCGAGAAATCCGGCCTCTCCTTCCCCCGCCTCCTCCCCGGCTCATCCCGCAAATCCTCCGGCCGCCCCGGTACATCAGACGGCGCATCCGCCGCCGGCTCCTCAACCCTCATCGGCGCGCCCTCCTCCGCCCAGTCCAAACGCGACGCCCGCCGCGACTCTGTCAACTCCGGCGGTTCAAAGGAGAAGGACGAGAAGAAGCGCGATCCCGCTCTACTACGCAAACGCACCTCCAGCGCCGGGCCCGGGACACGTACGCCTGGTGGGCCTGGCGTATCTCCCGTCGACGCCAAAAACGGATTGGGAGTGGGTGCCGCGGGCGAGAAGCTCAGGGCGGGGCAGAGTATACTGCAGCAGATCGGCGCGCCGGACTTCAACGGGTGGATGCGGAAGAAAGGCGAACACTACAATGTGTGGAAGAGCCGGTACTTCGTGCTCAAGGGCCCGCACCTATACTGGTTACGGTCCAACTCTCCCTCCGTGCGTGCCGCGCCCATTCACTCTTATATTCAGGTCGGAACATATGCTGATGATGCGCGGTAATTGGCAGGAGATGAAGATCAAGGGATATGTCAATACGACTGGCTACCGCATCGTCGCGGACGAGAAGATCGACCCTGGCAAGTACGGGTTCAAGCTCGTGCACGATAGCGAGAAGGCGCATTACTTCAGCTCGGAGGAGCAGAGCGTCATTCGGGAGTGGATGAAGGCGCTTATGAAGAGTAGCATCGATCGGGATTACTCCAGTGCGTTGCTCATCTCTTTCTTATTCCTCTTTTTTTGGTCAACTATGCACCATGCCATCGAGCGTTTGCGCTGACAGTGCTCTACGCTACCTCATTTGAACTTGCATTATATTGCGTTCTTACTACGCCTTCCACCGTCTCTTCTTATCACTCTGTATCGTACATCCTACTTACGCATCTCCCACAGAACCCGTAGTCTCATCCGTCAACATCCCCACCATCCCTCTCCAAGTCGCACAAGCAATGAACCCGGCCCCACGCCCACCCTCACCAACCCAACGCGCCGCAACCCAGAAGTCCTTCCGCCGCGAGAACACGAACCAGCTAAGCACGCGCGACGCTCAGATCCTGATGGGTGTCGGCGGCACAGGCGAGCGCGCGCGTCTCGACTCCGTATTTTCAACGCAAGACGCAGAGCCCTCCTCGTTGCCTCTGGAGAGTGCAGCAAGTGCGCCCCAACTAGCAGCAAGGCCTGCGCCGCCGAGCAGGCCGAGTCGGGAGTTGCGGCGCGGCGCGAGCGTGAGTACGCAGAAGACGGGCCAGTCGACGAATGATGTAGGCCCTTTGAATGCTGTTATGATGCTTCCACGTCTCTGATCTGTATCATTCGTCTCTTCTTTTTTCATGATCGCTCATTCCCACCTCGCCTGCGAACACGAACTGCAAAACTGCGAATCAACACCTGCAAACGACAAATCCCGAATCCCCACCTGCGAACTACGAACTTCGAACCACCACCACCTGCGAATCGCGAATCATCACCTGCGAACTGCGAACGTATCGACTTCATCTCGCAACCTATACGATAAGCAGACCGCGCTGGACCCCGCGCTCGTGGAATGGGCCAACTCCCACGTCCCTTCCTCCCTTCACATCCCCGCAGACGGCGCCTACCCCCTAACGATCGGCCTCACGCTCCTCCGCCTAGCCGAAAGCATCAAAGGCTCCCCCGCCTCCCCGCCCGTGCCCGACGCCGCCTTCCCATCATCACCCGAAGACGCCGACAAGCTCGAAGGCCTGTTCAGGCTGTTCGACTTTTTGTTGGATAATGATGTGCGGATGGGGAGCGTCAGTATCAATGATATTAGGCAGGGACGGAGAGATAAGGTTGGACAGTTGCTCAAGGCGCTTAGGGCGTGGGAGGAGAAGAGGAGGAACGTGGCGAGGAGTATTGGGAAGGGGGGTGTCGGCGTCGGTGGGTTCGTTGCCCCTGCCGGATGGGAAGATTGAGAGGCGCAGTTGGCGTAGCCGCTAGCGCTGGGTGGGGGCTGTGCGATGCTCGTCTTTGGGATACCTCGTCTCCTTTTCATTCGTTTGTTTTACGCATGTTTTGTGCTTTGCCAATCGACTGTTGGATCTATACCTCATCGCTACCCTTCCTCGGACAATGGTCCTCAATATACGTGCCCTTAAAAGCTGGAGCTCAACAAGCTACGACAAGGCACTCCAAACACATGATGATGCAGCTTATGTGTCCCGCCCTTCTGTACTCTCGCAGGATACGCTAACCCCTCTGAACGTCTATCATAGGTTTGGGGTGGCCCGCGGACGATCACACAGACTTTGCGCCCTCGGCTTCCAGCCAACAATGATGTCCCTCGCAATCGCCCCAGCGCTGTTCGCAATACATTCCATCCTTCCCGTGCTCTACCACGAGTCCGCCCGGACTCTCACATCGTCCTTCTCGCCATCTTTCGGGCTGATGAGCATGCGAGCCATCTGGCAGCGCTATCTGGGATACGTACTACGCCGAGAAAGGTGACATGGAAAGCGAGGACTGTAGTGCTCGTGCATAAGACTTTCAACGGCCGCGGGCCTCGCATTCTTGTGACAGCAGACTAAGCGCCTCCGGGAAACGCGGTTGAACATCGATCTGGAAAGGACTGGGACGACTGTACATCGGACGCGTCAAAAGGGAGTGCAAAGGTCGAAGCGCAGGACGGCTACGTACATCATGATGCCTTCGTCGCGGTAGGCGCTGACGTCGAGTTCTTGGCCCTTGACATTGCGGAAAGAACAGGCCCAGAGACACGTCGCGATCTGCATGTAGAAGCTCTTGTTGCCGACCTCCTTTCCAGGGCATACGCTGCATACTCGTCAGCAAACTCCAGTTTGATCTTACGCTCTGAAGATACAGGTACCGTCTTCCGAACCCTGCAAATTCGTCAGCTACAGAGCGCGAACTGAAGGGTTTATGGATGTACCGAATGCATTGTGCCCATCGCCCTTCGTGCCGGGTAAGTTTGCTTTGAGTTGGCCCTTCTCGTCGAGGAATCGTGCTGGATTGAAGTGCTGAGCATCGGACCCGTGTGTCTCAGGATCGCGACTGAGCTCCTGCGCGTTCACAATGACGATCGTCCCCTTCGGGATGAAGTAGCCGCTATACACATCGTCCTCGGTGCTCCGTCGCGGTCTTTTGGAGGGTCATCAGCTGGGCGCACAGGTCGAAGACATCTGGCGAGACGCACACTCCGAGCGGAGACGTCAATCCCCAGCGCAGCAGCTCCTTCACCATGGCGCAGATGTACGGCAAATGGGGCATGTCTGCAAACGTAGGCGGACGCAGGCGCCCTACGACGGCATCTAGTTCGTCTTGCGCTCGTGCTTGTACATCCGGGTATTCTATCATCGCCAATACCCACCAGCTCATGATGGCGGCGGTCGAGTGCGCACCTCCGGCGCTGTCATGTTGCTCGTGATAAGCTCTAGTGGTTGAAGCAAGGTATATACGCACAACATGGTGGCAGCAAGCCATGCTTTCTCCAGCGTACTGAGGTCGTATCGCCCAGAATCGTTGATGAGCATCGAGCAGAACGACGCTCTCGCTTTACCACCGACCTGTGCGCAACTTCAGTTGAATGATAGGCCAGTCATAGACTGGTGTTACGGACGATGTTTTCTTGTGCATGTTTGAACATGCGGACGAACTCCTCGTTGGCCTTCTGGTTCCAGCCCTCTGCAGAGCGCTTCCATGCGGCGAACCTACTCGGAATGTACCGCAACCATGGCATGAGCTCGACCTACAGAAGTTCTTAGTGATGAAGGAACGTGATATAGGGTGTAAGACATACCAAATGCGCCTCAGGACCGATCGCGGTCGTAAGGCGCTCAATGAACTCGTTGAGGAAGTCTATACGGGGATCATTGTCGCTCTACAGCAAGTCTCCTCAGCAAGACGCGAGTGAACCCAATCTCAAAGTGCTTACCGCGCGCTCGCCATAGAGGCATGATAGCATTGTACTCGCAGATGCTTGATGCAAGTGCTTCTCCCAACCCGCGGCATCCTTCAAAACGCTTCGTGCTAGAGTCAGGGCATCCGATTCGATGTAGTCGTCAAGATCGTGTGTGATGAGCTTGTTCACGACTTCGACAGATGCCTTGCGCATTCGATTCCAGCTATAGTGCGATATGAGCATGGTACGGTCATAAGTACAAGCATCACGTACACATCGTTGTAACCTCCGAACGCAAAGAAGAGGCTACCAGACATGATCTGCCATCCAACGATGTTGGGCGGCCTGTCCATGTACTTTCCGGATCTTCTGTCAAGCAGTTCGCTTGCGACCAGTTGGCTATTCAGGACCACGATCGGCTGTCCTGCGGCATTCAAGTAGAAGATGTCCCCTGAGTTCGTATCACTGGATATGATAGCGTTGGTAGGTATACAGCGGATGGCTTACCATAGATCTTGCGCCAAGAACTGAAGAGAGTCCATTGCTCCGAGTGACTGTTCATCTGCAGCACATTGCCAATGAAAGGAAAGCCAGGAGGTCCAGGAGGAAGCCGAGACCTTGAGCTTCTTACGTAACGGACTGAGATCGCACAGATGAAGATAACTGTAGCCAGGAATGCTACATGGTATCGAGAGCTATCCTCGAGGAACGTTGCTGGTCGAAGGTTGAGGAGTGCGAGCATCCGAAGAATGGTCCGCGGAGTAGCCATACGTTGGCATGGAACCTTATGAATTACACCGGTGCTCTACTTGTGCAAGATGACACATCCAAGGTACCAAGTTGATTCTTCTTCAAGAGGCGCGTCAGAAACTAAGCAGTGCTCAGAGTGATTGAAGGTCGGAAGATAGATCCGACGTTGACGGACAAGTCACGATGGTTTGCAGATACGCGCGCGTCCCGCGTTCGTACTCATGATGCTTCTCAAGTCGAGTACCATATTGGTCACACACACACACATGAAATGCCTCTCGCTCATCTTGAAGACCTCATTGCGCGTCAATCTCCATATGTCAGGCTCAGATCCTCGTATACAACATTAATATCCCGAATACTTAGTTCGTCTTCACCACAATCAGTGGAACATCGGACGTGCGACGCGACCGATTAGCGCCCGCGAAGCTCGCATTCGTGCGAAAGCAAAGCCAGGGCTTCAGGAAAGCGCGACTGAATGTTGACATGAAACGGCTTAGGCCGGCTGCGAAGGACATCAGTGATATTCCCCACGGTCAGAAAGAGACGTACACAACAGTCCCTTGATCGCGAAAGGCTTTGACATCGAGTTTCTGACCTTCGATGTTGGTCAAAGAGAAAGCCCAGAGGCAGGTCGCAATCTCGATGAAGAGACTCTTGTTCGCGATCTGCTTCCCGACGCAGACCCTGGAAGGCTGTCAGCTTCTGTCACGGCGGGAGAAGAGATACGCGGAGATTGGATGGTTTGGCTTACCGCCGGCCAAACCCTATTTGTGATGAGTATCGTGATGATGATGAACAGCCTCCCACACGTACCGTATGTGAAATGACCGTCGTCCTTGGCACCGGGAAGTTTGGATAGGAGCTGCCCCTTCTCGTCCAAGTAGCGAGCCGGATTAAAGTCGTCAGCATCCATACCGAATGTCTCCCGGTCGCGATTCAGCTCCCAGACGTTCACGATGACGGTCGTCCCCTTAGGTATGAGATAACCGTCGTAGACATCGTCCTCGTTGCTGTAATGGGGACTATACGCTATGATTAAACTGCATGGGTGGCATAAGACATACACGCCATCTCACAGTCCCAGTGGCGCAATAGCTCCCCATCGCAGGAGCTCTTTAACCATCGCTTCGATGTATGGAAGGTGGGGCAAGTCCGCAAAGGCCGGTGTGCGCGTGCGGCCCACGACGGCATCAAGCTCTTTCTGAGCACGGCTTTGAACCTCGGGATAAACCAGCATGGCCAACGACCACCAGCTCATGAGAGCAGCAGAAGTGTGGGCCCCTCCACCGCTATGATGAAGATCAGAACAAGTCTAACACGAAGATAAAGTACACACGACGCACAATACGGTGGCCGCTAACCATGCGTTCTCCCGGGTATCAAGTCCGTAACGGTCTGTTTCGGTGATGAGCATGGAGCACATTGATTCTTGCGCTTCGCCTTTGTCCTGGTGCTGTATTCAGTAAGATGAAGCTAGGATTGAGGATAACTTCATACGACTCTGTCCCGCGTGGACTCGAACATTCGGATGAACTCAACGTCGGCCTTCTGGTTCCAATACTGCGCCGAACGTTTCCAAGGAGCGAATATGCTAGGGATATGCCGCATCCAAGGCAGAACCTCAACCTGGGTACAGTTAGGCACGGCAGATGCTATCCATGTGTGAGAACAAACCCAATGAGCTCCGGGGAGAAGTGCACGCGTGATGCGCTCGGAAAACTGATTAATGAACTCGATACGAGGATCGTGCCCGCCGTCAAGCTGCCATCGTTAGCCAAGTATTCCTCATGGTCAGATGCATGGCTTACTGCAGGTTCTCCATACAGACACGCCAGCATTACGCTCCCCGAAGCATGATGCAGGTTTTCGGTCCAAGCTGAGGCATCCTGAAGACTGTTTCGCGCCAGAACGAGAGCTTCCGACATCATGTACTCATCGAGCCCATGCACGACAGCCTTGTTGATCGTTTCTTGAGAGGCCCTGCGCATGCGACGGCATCTGTACTCGATGAGCACCAGCTCTCGAGGGTAATGAATTCGACAACGCGCACACTTCATCGAAACGACCGAAGGCGTAGAAGAGGCCTCCCGTGATCATCTCCCAAGCAACTATGTTTGGTGGCCGGTCTATGTATCGCGTTGCCCGACGATCCAGCAGGTCGACTGCGATAGAGGCCTTGTTGATTACAATTATGGGTTTGCCGACTGCGTTGAGATAAAAGAGATCGCCTACACGCGAGTCAGCAAGCCACGATATTGAGGAGGGATAGACAATAAACGCACCATAGATCTTTCGCCAGGAGCTGAATAAGATCCATTTCTCTCCTGTTAGCTGAAGAGTATTCCCGAGCAAGGGGAGCCCCAAGGGCCCCGGCGGTAGCCTTCGTCTCGCACTAGTTAAACGGCGGGCAAGCACTGCCAGTATAAGCCCTGTCACCGAGCCAATGAACAGTATTGGATTCGACTGGAAGGTATGTTCAGCGTAGTTCATAGCGCGATTGAGGCTTAGAGATTCAGCCATCGGCAGGATAAGGAAGACGCCGTTTTCGGATACAGGTGCCATTGGTGCAGCTCCTTTATTAACGCCCGCCGTCGCGAGTTCTCATGTGCGTCCGTACTAATCAGAACTCAACGTGCGCACAAGACGCGACGCTTAGCCGAATCCGACCCGGCGCAAGCAGTATTTGGCCGCAAGACGCCCAGCGCGAGACCCGCTATTCAATTGATATGCCGTGGAAACGCACTCAACACGAATGAGGTATCCTGACTTCATTCAACATGGGCGCCGTTCCCGGATAGAGTCAGCGATAGACTATAGTGAGCTGACATGTGGGCGATCTACACGGCATGGCCGCTCTGCCGGTCAGCTAGCTCATCCGGCGAGTCTCATGCGCATTATAGGATAGGTTGATCGAGATATCAGTCTTGGTGGCGAGCAAGGGCCGTGGTTAGGCCGTGGTGGACGTCCAAGACAAGAAGCGCAGGGTCGCGCGGCTGCTTCACTTGCACCCAACTTGCACCTTCCCTCCGTCATCGCTATCCCAGCGCTCAGCACTCAGCGCTCAGTACCAGTCTCAAAGTCCGTAGTCGAAGTCCAGGTCATGCTTGAGTCACACGATCAAGATGCCAATGGTGCGCTGGGCAGTCTGACGTGTCACCTCAATATGGTCGTGTACTGATCTATTGAGTCGCAGGTACTATCCTGTGTCCAGTACGCGATGCTGCTAGAGATATCTACGGTACAGCACCCACGCCTCCAAACAGCCGAGTCCGAAACAGAAATTCTGCTCTGCTCTCTACGGGCTGGGACTCGCTGACCCTCGCGTTGGCGCGCTCAAGTTCGACATGGACCTGGGCACCCTGTGATATGCATATAGCCGGGTTGAGTTGCTATGAAAGGGCAATAGATGGTTATGCGATTTCTGGTGCATGAGGCGAGGTGTGCTATAGTTCCCCTCAACGTCGGCTTCACATCCTAATTGCCAGTAGAAACTATTGGTGGTTCACGTCGTTCTCCGGATCGGTATCCTACGTTCTCTTCGCCAGCCAAGCCCGGACTAAAACCGGCGACGACTGCCTCATTCGACGTGCCCACTGACGCCCATGATCCTCCTCGCATGGACCCCGGACCGTCATTATTTGCGCGCCCATCGTCGTTTCGGCGAATATATCGCATCGCTGCCCTTCCTATTTGTCGGAAGGGCGAACTCGTGCACGCTTCGGCCTACACCGGAGTATCCCTCATCGTACTCGCGCTCATTCAAACATTCCTCGAGCGTAAACATGGATCTGGGCTGCGTCTCGTGTACTCTTACATTACACTACTGTCAATCTTATAAATCTCTCCATCCCTTCGGCCAGCTGGCTATGCATGCCAATGTATGCGGAGGCTGCTGCGTGCGGAATGGCTCGTGAAGTTCCTGCTCAGCGACCGTGAAGCTCGCGCTCCTGGGTGAGCAAGTCAAACGCTTCCGGAAAGCGAGGCTGAATGTTGACGGCGAACGGTTTAGGGACGCTGCAGAACTTTCAGATTCCGATAGACACAGACTGAACGGGATACTGACACGACGACCCCCTGGTCTACGCAGTCGTCCAGTTCGAGCTTCTGGCCTTGCACATTTGAGAACGTGAAGGCCCAGAGACAAGTGGCTATATCGATAAACATGCTGTTGCTTGCGACATGCTTTCCGACGCAGATACTGCGAGCAAAGTGAGCATGCGGTTCACCAGTCTCGGTAAAGCTTCTTACCGACGGCCAAAACCTACTCAGCATTAGTTCATGATCTTGGACCAATCAACAGCAGTCGAACTCACCGAATGAAAAGTTTCCGTCCTCCTTTGTGCCGGGAGGGTTTATGACTGTCGTGCCCTTCTCATCGAGATAACGACTAGGATTGAAGTCGAGGGCGTCGGCGCCGAAGATCTCGGGGTCGTGATTCATCTCCCAGACATTTGCGACGACGATCGTCCCTTTGGGGATGAAGTATCCCTGATAATAGTCGTCCGCCATGCTTTTGTGAGGCCTGTGCGAGAGAACATCAGCATTAGTGCGAGCAACAGATGGGCCAGATCCGACGACGAACACTCCAATGGGATTTATAGGTCGCCAACGAAGCGCCTCCTTCACCATAGCACAGATGTACGGAAGCCGGGCCATATCGGCGAATGTGGGGACCCGCGCGCGACCGATCACAGCATCAAGTTCATCTTGGGCCTTCTGCTGGACCTTCGGGTAGGCGAGCATAGCAAGAGTCCACCATTCGAGCGCCGCGTGAGTAGTATCGGCCCCGGCTATGCTATAGATCAAATTCAGACTCCATCGCATACACTTGCATGTGTGCTGCTTACAATAATGATCCCGCTAACCATGCGTTTTCATGGGTCGTTAGATGGTAGCGATTAACATCGCGAACAAGGGTGGCACAGAATGATTCCCGTTCGAGGCCATTGACCTGCGTTGCTATCATGAGCGGTTCGTACAAATAGCAAGATCGCGCCTACGTTAACGTCTTCTTGTACTCGTTCATAGAGATCGTGAAATACTCTGTTATCCTTGGCATGCCAGTCTTGAGCAGTGCGCTTCCAAGGCGCAAATACGCGAGGAATATAGCGCATCCACGGCATGCTGTCGACCTCCACGAATGAGTCAGTTCAGGCGCAAGGGGCAGTAAGTATGCACGTACCCAGTATTCTCCAGGTCGCATCGATCGTGTTAAGCGCACAGAGAAGTCGTCCATGTGTGCAAGACGGGCGTCTCCGTGATCAGATACCTGTGATGTCGTCGTTATAGGTGGGCAACTCTACTTCAATTTTCGACTTACTGGCGGCTCCGCGTAGAGGCAACGCAGCATCAAACTCGTCGATGCAATATGCAGATTGGTGATCCATCCTGAAGCATCTTGCATGCTGTTGCTTGCGAGGGCGAGTGCTTCATCAGCTTGGTACTCGTTCAGGACATGTGCGACAACTTTGTTCAAGGACTCGTGTGCAGCTTTGCGCATTCGACGCCATCTTTTACTCGTCAAGACCAATCATGCATGTTGAAAGGATAGACATGCGTACGTTTCGTTGTGCTGGGAAAGAGGAAGAAGAAGGCCGTCGCAGAGGATGTCATTCGCGACGATCATCGATGCTCGATCAGAGTAGAGGCCAGCTCGTTGATCGAGCAGCTCGGTCGCGATCTTGTGATCGTTGATGACGATCATAGGCTTGCCAGCGGCATTCAGATAGAACATTCCGCCTACAGATATATGAGTAATGACACCCAAGCAAGTGAGGGTGGTACTTTCGTACCGTAGTCCTTTCTCCAGGCACTGTACTTCATCCAGTACTTGTCGCTCGATATCTGGAGAGCATTCCCGATGATAGGCAACCCTGGCGGTCCCGGTGGTATGCTACGCCAGGGGCTCTTGAGGTGGCGTACGAGCCAGCAAGCGAACAATCCAATCCCGATGCCAGCACTCAGTACAGTATGCTCAAGAATGAGATCCAGAGCGCGATGCACGAAACTGGCGGTGACGCCTAAGTGCTCCGAAGGGGAGGAAAACAGCATCGCTTCGGACGAGGGAAGCGCAGAATCTTGGATTATGCAGTGAATGAGACGTCGCGGCCTCCAGTATTTCTGCAGTTACGAGCTCCCGCATGACACGTTTAGTCAGGACGAGAAGAGCCCGTAGAAGCAATTTCTAAGTCGCCTGTGAGCGTTCGAAGCTGGCGCATCGCCCTCCGTGGAGAAAGGTGGCAGCTTGATTCTGACCGGCGACCTGCTTTTGAATGGGCGGTATATCTGCCGGCCGCTTCAAGGATGCACATCATACAACATCGAAGGGTCCCGAACCTCTAGCGAGAAGTCTCACTCGATGTGGCGTAACAGAACGGCGACCCTAGCACAAAAGCCAAGCGGCTGATATCCCTGAGCATCTTCGAAGTTTGAGTGAATACTATGCCCTCAAAGTTCTCTTCGCCCGAGCCTCTCAATCTCGAGATGCTCACTCATCGACATTATAGCCTGCAAGATCCGCGTACAATGCTACTTCAGTTCCAAGTGGGCAGACATTGCTTCGTTGAGATAGGTAGACGAGAGGCGTGTCGAACATCGCGGTTCGCTGGCAAGTGACGCGCGCCGCTAGCGCGCGGCGACCTACGGCGACCTCACACGATCGCTGGCAAGCACTCGCGGTTCACAAGCGCTTTTGCATTTTCCCCACCGAGACGCCGCTCTGATGTTCGACTCCGAACTGTGCTATATACCAAAGCTGAGTTACCTCCATCTGGCTATCATTCAGGCCGCACGAGGCTGGCGGCGTGTCACTATCTGCGCTCGGTCGCATGGTCGTCTTTTCGGGAACGATATGAGCCGGATGTATTCACTCGCGGCTTTCTCTGCAATGGGCGCTCGAGACAAGGTGTGTCGAAGGTGAACGAACTTGATGCGCCCAGCCCATTCGCGCCACGCGCCGCCGCGGCCAAAGTCGAACGCACGTTCTTCCGTCCATTCACACTCATGATTGCGTACGAAGCAGGCGCGTACGTTTCCGTCTAACTTGCATCTGTCACGCAGCGACCTGCAAACGGGTTGACTCCGACAGAAGTAGTTACTTAAAGACGGCTTTCGACATTCTCTACGAATCGGTCAACGGCCATGAAGCTCACATTCCTGCGATAGTATGCCAAGCGCTTCTGGGAAGCGTGGCTGTATGTCAACCTTGTAGGGCTTGGGAATGCTACCAGAGGTCAGTACCTAGTCGAAGTTGTTGATCTGGCATCCACTCACACAACGATGCCTTCGTCGATGCAGTCGTCGAGATCCAACTCCTGACCATCAACATTCACCAAGGAGAATGCCCACAGACATGTGGCTATATCAATGAACAGGGAGTTTGTTGCAATGTGCTTGCCGACGCAGATGCTTCAGGGGTACCGGGTAAGTTCTGCGATCTCAAGCGAGCCTATGACATTACAGCTCACCGCCTGCCAAAACCTGCGCTCTGTCAGTAACCGAATCTGCACGCAACCGGAGGGACTTACCGAAGGTGAAGTATCCGTCCTCTCTTGTACCTGGAGGGTTGCGTACACGGCCGCTCATCTCATCAATGTAGCGGGTCGGGTTGAACTTATCCGCATCACCGCCGTATATCTCTGGGTCATGATTCAGCTCCCACACATTCGCCAGAACGATGGATCCCTTCGGAATGAAGAGACCCTCGTAGTAATCGTCTTCAGTACTGGCATGAGGACTTGAAATCGAAGTCAGCAAGTTTGTCGCGTGTACTAGGCATAGGCACCGGGAATGACACATACACTGCATAGGGAGTTACCGGCCTCCAGCGCATGATCTCTTTGACGATGGCGCAGACATACGGGAGGTTTGGCAGGTCCGCAAAAGTAGGCACTCGGGAACGACCGATGATAGCGTCGAGCTCGTCTTGAGCTTTCCTTTGGGTGTGCGGGTACGCGAGCATGGTCAACGTCCACCAGCTGAGCACGGCACGAGTGGTATCAGCCCCAGCTTCGCTGTGAAAGTCAAGGAGTCAATATACTAGATAAACTAGCATGAGATAAAGTATACTATAGGGAGGCAGCAAGCCATGTGTTTTCATGAACACTCAATCCATATCTGTCCATATCGTGAGCAAGTGTCGCGCAGATTGAAGTTCTTTCGCTCTTTTCGTCCTGAGCAGACGTCACGGTGGTCAGAGATAGCCGCCCGTACTGGAAAGACACACCTACCACAGCGATTTGCACTCGATCATACAATGTGCGCAATATCTTGCCATCCTTCTTACTATGTTCTTGGGCGATCCGTTTCCAGGGTGCTAGTGAACGGGGGATATATCGCATCCATGGCAATAGGTCCACCTAGATGTGATCAACATCGTTGCGAGAATCGCAAGAACCAAAAAATCACTTACCCAATAGGCACCCGGGCTACACGCATGAGTAACACGGTCGGCGAATGCGTTGATGTGACTGACACGAATGTCAAGTTCGCTAGTCACCTGTCAGACCGAGTAAGCTTCTCGCAACGCGATCGGTTCAAGGTCTGACCGGTGGCTCTGCATACACAGAACACAGCATCATGCTTGCAGACGCGCACCGCAGATGTTTGTCCCACATCGCCGGGTTTTGTAGACCGTTCCGAGCAAGAACGAGCGCCTCTTCCGTCTGGTACTCCTGTAGACCGTGAGCTACGACCTTGTTAAGTGCCTCGTGTGCTCCTTTCCGCATTCGGCGCCATCTAGATCGCGTAAGTATGTAACCGTTCGAAGAGTGTTCAGAGTCGACTCACGTCTCATTATAATGGATCAACGGAAGCAACAGCCCGCTGCATAGAATGTCATTGGCCACATATGCAGGCGGCCGACCTGAGTATATGGCGGCGCGACGGTCGAGTAACTCAGTTGCGGTCCGGTGATTGTTGAGTACAATCATATGTCGACCAGCGGCGTTCAGGTAGATGATATCACCTACAGACCATGCACATCAGCGCCCGTCAAAGGTATACAAGAGAGTGATCTGACTTACCATAGTCCTTGCGCCAGCTGCTAAAAGTAAGCCATTTCTTCCCTGCAAGCTGAAGCGTGTTGCCGATGATGGGTAGGCCGCGTGGTCCAGGAGGTAGCTTGCGCCATGGACTCATCACATAGTGTACGACCTGAAAGAGTAACAGCCCCAGAGTAGCGCCTACGACCAGCGCTGAATGATCGCGCGCAAACAAAGGGTATGTATCCACGGGAAAGGCCATGGCGCTCGACGTTCAAGGACACTTCGGACAGTGGAAGGGCTCAACTCCGGATTGCGCGCAGATCTCGCAGCCGCGAGTATATCTACGGCTACGAGACCTCGCATGACGCAACAGAGAACATGAGAAGAAGCCCCCGGATACGGTTTCCGGATGGGCCTGGGACCTTTCGAAGCGGTCACATCGTCCTCCGTGGAGAAGGCATTAGGTAGCAGCTCAAAGCGCTCGATTCTGACCGGCGACCTGATGAAAATGGGCCTGAAGTGGGTTCACCGGCCATTCTGAAAAGAGCACAGCGACATCCAGAGTCAGAAATTTCTGCCAACAACATGTCGCTCGTCGGTGAGGTGTGATTCTCCTCCACATCGCGGCAGCCTGCCTGCCTGGCCAAGACAGGCCGCCGCCTACGGCTCTATGCACGGTCGTGAAGATTACATGGACGTGTAGGTGATAGATACGGCCGTTTAGCGCAGTTGTGCGCCGTAGAATGGGACTACATTTGTCGTAAGGGACAAGCATGGAATGCGATAGACATGGTGGTCTGGAGGCAAGTCGCGCAGAATCGTGCGCCAGCGCGACAGAGCGCGCCAACCGGGCCGCGCCAGGCGCTTGCGGCGGTTCGCCTTGCACTTCTCTTCCGCCATCACTGTTCAGGCGTTCAGGCGTTTAGCTCTCAACTTCAGCGCTAACTTTGTACTTCAGCCCGATGATGACCGGCGCGCTCAGGAGGATGGAGGTGCGCAACGCTTTCCCGCTGGTCGTCCGGCCTGTCTTTTACCCGTGCTAAAGATACTGCAATAGTGACTTCGTTAGTCGCCGGATGGCACCACCATTCCTGCTACAAATTGGACGTACGAACGTAGCCTCCCATCAACTCCGTCACATCCGATGCGGTGTGTTCTGTGGTCGCACGCGGGACCAACGGCAGCATACAACGGAAGGCGCTCATCCGTTCCTGCAAACTCTCTTCGTGTAGAGGAGCAGTACAACTTTCTTGGCTCAGTACCACCCGATCGGCATCCCCGAGCGCAAAGCTGCTGTATATTTGCATGAATGCGTAGACGAGAGAGCGAGAAACGAGTGCATGGACGCTAGGTGTCAGAGTGTGTGACCTACAGCGTCTCTTCAGCGATTCGTCTGACGTGGTTTATCTAGGCCTTCGCGGCAGCTGACGATTTTACGGTTGGGCAATCGGACTAGAACTACTTGGTCCACCAGACGATACGTAGCTAGCATCCCTTCACGATCCCCCAGTAACAATCCAAATGCAATTCACTTGAATGCGCGATCCAGTTGAGCTCCGCCTTACGACTTCCGGCTCAATAGCCGCGAACAATCTTACAATTGTCTTCCGAAAATTGACATCCCAGCTCGTTCTGCATGACAAGGCACGCGTACGGTGCCGCCTACGGATCCATCCGTGGCTTGTGAACCTCCTACTTAGCGACCGTGAAGCTCACGTTCCTGGGTGAGCACGGCAAGCGCTTCCGGGAAACGAGGTTGAATGTTGACCGCGAAGGGCTTGGGGGAGCTGGGAGAGTATAAGCCTGGAATGGGTAAAGCTGAAACAGTGTTTGCTTACACAACGGCGCCTTCGTCTACACAGCCATCCAACGGAAGTTTCTGACCTTGGACGTTCGATAATGTGAAGGCCCAAAGACAGGTCGCTATATCGATGAACATACTATTACCTGCCACGTGCTTTCCTACACAGACACTGCGAACAGGATTAGTAGACGGTCAACAAGGCTTCGGAGATCTCTTACCGCCGGCCGAATCCTACGCGCAGCGTCAGCACATGTGCGGGTACGCCAATACGGTTATGAGCTCACCGAAGGAGAAGTGTCCATCTTCCCTCGTACCCGGAGGGTTAACAAGCGTCGCTCCCTTCTTGTCGACTAGGGTTGAAAAGGAGAGCATCGGCGCCGAAGATCTCAGGGTCGTGGTTCATCTCCCAGACGTTTGCGGCGACGACCGTGCCTTTGGGAATGAAGTAGCCTCTATAAAAGTCGTCCGATGTGCTTCTGTGAGGTCTGCGAGGATGAAGACTGGCGTCAGCGCGAGGCATCAAACAGGTAGGGCCAAGAGACAAACACTCCGATGGGGTTGGTGGGTCGCCAACGAAGCACTTCCTTCACTATGGCGCAGATGTATGGAAGACGAGGCATATCTGAGAACGTGGGCGCCCGCGATCGACCGATCACAGCATCCAGTTCGTCCTGGGTACGTTTCTGGGTGTCCGGATACGCAAGCATAGCGAGAGTCCACCATTCAAGTGCTGCACGAGTAGTGTCGGCTCCAGCAACGCTAATAACCAAGTCCAGTATGTATCGGGCAAGCCGAAGCGTATGGCGCTTACTACAACGATGCGGCCAACCACGCATTTTCATGAGTTGTCAACCGGTAGCGATGGGCGTCGTGGACGAGAGTTGCACAGAATGATTCCTGCTCAATGCCATTGACCTGACTTGAGATCAGCAAGTCAAGTTCTGTTAAAGGAGGTCAATAGTACCTTGATGTCGTCTTGTACTCGCTCGAACAGGTCGTGGAAGATCTTGTTGTCCTTACGATACCAGCCCTCAGCGTTACGCTTCCACGGAGAAAATATGCGAGGGATATGACGCATCCACGGAAGGATCCCGACCTCACAGAGGGGTCAATCCGAGTCGGAGGTACAGAAGGTGAGGATTTACCCAATGCGATCCGGGTGGGACAGCCAGTGTCACGCGCAGAGCGAAGGCATCCATATGCGTAAGCCGTGCATCGTCCTTGTCAGATACCTATAGCAGCACCGTCATTCCGAGTGCCTATACTAGGAGGTAGCGGCCTACCGGTGACTCCGCGTATAGAGAGCGCAGCATCAAACTGGTCGTTGCGATACGGATATGGGTTCCCCAACCGTTGGCGTCTTGAAGGCTATTGCTCGCAAGAGTAAGTGCTTCTTTGGCTTGATAGTCATTCAACCCGTGAGCGACAACTTTGTTCAGTGTCTCGTGGGCAGCCTTGCGCATGCGCCGCCAGCTATGGATCGTCAAGCTCTTCACGCGGAGCATATAGATACATTGCGTACGTTTCGCTGTAACGGGCGAGCGGGAGTAGCAGGCCGTCGCAGAGAATCTCGTTTGCAACGATCATCGATGCTCGATCAGAGTAGATGCTAGCTCTTTGGTCAAGCAACTCGGCTGCAATCTTGTGATCATTCAAAACGATCATGGGCTGTCCAGCGGCGTTCAGATAGATAATACTGCCTGCAACCATATGAGTCGTGACGTCCGCGCAGGTAAGAGGGGGAGCTTCATACCGTAGTCCTTTCTCCAGTCACCATACTTCAACCAGTACTGATCACTAGACATCTGGAGAGCATTCCCGAGAATTGGTATCCCTGGAGGTCCGGGCGGCACGCTACGCCATGGACTTTTAAGATAGCGCACGAGACAGAGAGCAGCCAATCCAGCCCCAATGCTAGCACTCGGTAGAATGTGCTCCAGGATAGCATGCAGAGTGCGATGCATGAGGGAGACGATGGCACTTGAATGCTCCGAGAAGGAAGAGGAGAACAACATCGCACTCGGTGCTTGGGCTCAACTGTCTGCTGCCCTTCTGTTATACCCCTTCCTGGTATGCGCCGTATGTACGCGCATTAGCGTTATCCCGTAGGTCGCAATAGCTTGGGATACTGAAACCCAAACCAGACGTTGAGCGGGGTTCTGAGCCATAGCAGGTAGAACGTGAACCCGTCAGTCCCTAACTCTCAATCGCGAATGTATCACGAAGTGCTTATCGCGGGACCCATTCTCAGAGCATTGAGCACGAGAACATTGGACATTGAGACGTAGGCGTCCGCATCAATCTTGCTACAGTTCACGAGCCATCTATCGCGAACGAAATCCGGGCGCATACCCAATGACCAAATCGGAATAGTGGCGCTCCGCGATGAACGTTCGAAACAAGGTCTGGCACGCACGAAGTAACGCGGCGGCGGCGGCCACGCCGCACATCAGAGCAGTCAATTCCCTTCTTTCCGCTCACACTCATCATCGCTCCGGAGCAAGCGCGCACACCTCCGTCAGATTGCGTCGCGCGCCATGCTCATGCGCTCATCCCATCTGCCCTTTGTCTAGGTCGAGTTGAGACTTTACCCTGATTAGTGCGCCCAGGAGGCTGGAGGTGCGTCGCGCTGCGTTCTGTCGACCGATCAACTCGCATGCTTATACCCCCGCAGGTGCCACCCTTCCATCTGTCGGACGGTGGCTCAGTCTCACTGCTCTAACGCTCAACGTCGTATGGATGAGCGCGTTTGCGCCACTCTATGGCCTCTGAATGTTGTGGGAGTGCTCTTTCGCTAGCGCTGGACGCGTCGCTTCATGAAAGAAGAATGAAGGTGGTCGAGATGCTCGCACTGGCTGGCATCACATAGTCATTAGCGTATTCCGAGGTATGTCAGCCAAGTACTCGTTCAAGCCGCCCTTCTCATGCAGAACACAGACTCCATAGGGTATTTGCGCTGTTCCCATTCCCTGCGAGGTCCTTCAGGACTCGACGTATGCGACTTCGCCTACTGGTGCGACTGAATCACCCTTGGAAACACCTGCTTCACCCCTCCCGTTCTGGAGGCGCATATGCCTGAGAACATACATGTTTATGGTAGCACAGCTTCTTCATCATACGCCTTCGGTGATAGTCGCAATGACTCCTTTTGTTGACTACTATACAAGAATTCAAAGCATGATGTTTCGATAGTCCGGGATCGCCCATCCAACAAGCCGTGCAACCGCTTCACCGCCACAGCGTGCATATCACGATGAACGCCGAAGCTCGCACTCGCTAGTGAGCAAACCCAGCGCTTCTGGGAATCTGGGCTGTACCTCGATATCGAACGGCTTCGGACGACTGTAAGAACGCGATGAGCACCTTGCGCAACAGATCCGCAGACGCGACGTACAAAACGAGACCTCCGTCTGTGAACGTGTCGACGTCGAGTACCTGCCCCTTAGGGTTGGTGAACGTGAATGCCCATAAACAAGTAGCAATGTCGATGAAGAGGCTATCGTTGGCGATGTGCCTACCGATGCAAATGCTGAAAAGGCAACAGTCAGTCTCAAACAGGCTGGATGAACCTCGCTGAGCGCCAGAGCTAACCGTCGACCAAAACCTATGCATGGCGCTCAGTCAGCTCGATGATCGGATTGGACATGCAGAGCACACAGTGACGAACCGAATGTATGATGATTCTCGTCCTTCGTGCCCGGCAGCCCCGGCAGCAAACAACCTGCCTCGTCCAGGTGGCGCTCAGGCCTAAACTCCCGAGCATCAGGGCCGTACACATCGGTGTCACGGTTCATCTCCCAGACGTTCGGGATGACAACGGTGCCCTTTGGTATGAAGTAACCGCCGTAGAAGTCATCTTCGATGCTGCGATGCGGGCTGCACGTGTAAGCTAGATCAGCATAACGGGCGTCGATCAACGACTGAATGAATACTTGCAGTCCGAGAGGTAGTACAGGACGCCAGCGGAGAACTTCCTTAATCATGGCATGGATATAGGGTAGTTCGGGCAGGTCCGCGAACGTCGGAACTCGCGCACGCCCGACGACGGTGTCCAGTTCCTCCTGAACTCTCTTCTGGCACTCGGGGTATGCAAGCATAGCGTAAGACCACCAACTCATCGTTGAGTAAGATGTCTCGGATCCGCCTATACTAAGGAATCATCAGTCCGTATACCAATGGGGAGATTGACGACATTGACGATGACATACTACATGGTCGCTGCGATCCAAGCATTCTCCAGGGTGCTCAAACCAAGGCGGCGAGCGTCTTGTGCGAGGGTGGCGCACAATGATGGCCGTTGATCGCCTTTAGCCTAAACGCTGAGGTTAAAACTACGGAGTCTCCGGGTAGAGCATCGTGGCGTACGAGATTCTCTTGCACATGTTCGTACATACCACAGAACACATCACCGTCTTTCTTTCCAGAGTCTTCTGCAACGCGCTTCCATGCTGCAAATCTACTCGGGATATACATCATCCAGGGGAACATCTCGACCTGGAAGCTTCTGATTGAATGCTGAAAGAAGGCGTGAGAAACGAAGGTACTGACCCAGTGCGCGCCAGGAGTCGCAGCTTTGGTCAGGCGATCAGTAAAGTGATTGAGATGACTGATACGCGGGTCCTGCTCGCTAACAAGCTACATGACTGAGAATGCCAACGTTATGCAGAGGAAGGCGGTACTAACTGGTGGTTCATCGTATACGCATGCCATAATCATACTTGCATTTGCACGGCGCAGAAGCTTATCCCAAGCCGCAGGATTGGTTAACGCATCGCGCGCAAGTAGTAAAGCCTCAAGAGACTGATAGTCATGAAAATTATGTGCCACGACCTTGTTCAGGCTTTCGTGCCCTGCCTTGCGCATCCGACGCCACCTGAGAGGTATGAGTACGAGTACGGTTGCAAAGTGAGAGTACGCACAGATCGCTATAGCGAGTCAATGACAGGAACAGCCCATTCGTCATGATATCACATGCGACGATATTAGGCGGCCTGTCCGAATATATACCGGCACGACGGTCCAGGAGGTCTGTTGCAACTTTCTGTGTATTCACGACGATAACAGGCTGACCGGCAGCACTTAAGTATATCAGATCACCTATATCGAGGTTGTGGTTGGCGCAATATGGATTGGACTAGGGTCAGACAGCGTACCATATTCCTTCCTCCAGGCGCTAAACTTGATCCAAGGCTCTCCTACCATCTGGAGTGCATTGCCGACGATAGGTAGACCTGTCGGTCCAGGAGGCAACCTGCGCCAAGGACTATTGAGGTACCGCACAGCAAGAAAGACCGCGAGCCCGACTATGATCCCGGTCCACAAGACGGTGTGTCTATGCGCAGCCTCTAAGACCGATCGGAGAGATACGGACTCGAGACGCAGATCAAGGATTGGCGACCGGGAAGGCATACTTTGCAAGAGGCGGTGTTCGCAGAGAGTGCTATTGCTCTCTCAATGGAGATTAGCAAGCGTCTTATGAGCGGCCTTCCCCGCTCTCCACAGGCTCGCATGACGTTGAAGCAAACACCATTAAGAAGGAAAGCGTGCGGTGGATACGCCGCAAATCGGAAGATCGAAGATGGTCTTACAGCTGGGCTGAGTATGCTGAGTTCATTAATGCCAATCCGGTCGCGACCTCACCGCTCGATCCAGCTCGATAGGGCTGCTCGTCTCATGGAGTCGGGCACAGAAGTTAAGGGAAGGGGTGGGAAGTTCCACGCATCCTTGACGTGTCGGGACAAGATAGTAGCGGCGCGCATCGGGGCACTTGCACGCACCCATTCGACACCTAGTAGTCCAGTGCAAGCGAAGACGAGCCTGGTTGGCTCATAAAGCAGGCCATTCTGCGAGAGGGCCAGCGTGATTGTGAAGAGGGTTTGAGTCGACATTACCAAATGGACTCTCATGAGAGTGAATGGGTGGGAGTAGGCTGGGACGAAGCATGCAGTACCTTCGGGCGCCTGCGAATTCTCCAGGGTCAGAGGCACGTCCACCTCAATGATGCTCCTCTCGTCGAATAGACGGTCAGAACGCTTTGTCCGACTTCCACGTTGACTGATGCGCGGAAGGTGACCTTACATGGCATACTTGCATGCGTTCAAACGCATGTGAAGCCATATGCGCCTTGCACTTTGTCTGCGTACGCCTGGGACCGCCAAGTGGGCGTATCGCCCATCACGGAGCAAGGATAGGGTAGTAGCGCATGCGCCCAAAGTTGGCTAGCAACCTGATGAGAATGAGCCTGGAGGTAGGTTCCCTCCGTCGAGTGCTACATCCGGCGTGAGGGGCGAGTGAGGGAAGCAATGCATATGGTGGTCTAGAGGCAAGTTGCGCAGGGTCGTGCGATAGCGCGCCGCGGCCGCACCCGGGTGCTTGCTGGTGCTTGAGGTTCGCCTTGCACTCCTCTTCCACCATCGTCGTTCAGGCGTCTGGCTCTCAACTCCGATGCTGAATCCGTACTCCAGCTTACAGATGGCCGGCGTGCTTAAGAGGATGGAGGTGCGTGAATATCTTCTCGCTGGCTGTTCGGCCTGTCTCTTTCACATGCTGAATATACTGTAGTGGTTTCGATAGCCGCTGGATAATACGACCGTGCGCACTGCATACACCCGTGCTCGCTGCTACAAATCGAACACCTACAACTTTCGCACATGAGCTCCGTCGCATACGGCGCATTGTGTCATGCAGTCGCGCGCCGCAATAGTGCACCGCAAGCACGATCTCCAGCTGCGGAGGGACAGGGAGGGACCGGCCGACCTTCTTGGTTCAGTACCAGATCTGAATCTGGATGGAGAGCCATCGCGAATGTGCACGTAATGGCTTGTACGTGGAAATCCGAGTACACAACTCAGGACGAGCGAACGGGCATCGAAGTGCGCAAACAAATCTATCCTTTCAGCGATTTATCTGACGTCCTCCAGTACTTAGGACTCCAAGACAGACGGCAACTCTGTGGCTGTACAATCGGCTGTACAATTGGAATATGATGTCCTTGGTCTATCAGACGATATGTAGCACCATCTCGTAACGACTACCCAGTACCCAGGCATATGCAAGCAATCCTTGGATGCGCACACCAATTGAGCTCCGTCTGTACAAGTTTGGGCTCGAAAGAGAGAAATTAGAGCCTGATAGCCATGTCGCCAAAGATAAAGCTAATGTATAGATACATGCGATCCCTCATACTGTCAAGTCCTACTAGATCGATAATCAAGATCATGCTGGATGTTCGTACTAAGTACTGTCCTCGCCATCACGCCTTGTTGCAGCCCGCCCGTCATGCATCACATTCCTCATTTGAGGCATCTAAGCATGCACATCAAAAGACCATAGCACCCAGACGACAGGGTGCGTATGCACACTACGCTCATAGGTTTAAGAGCCACGAAGCTCACACTCGTGAGAGAGGATAGACATGGCCTCTGGGAACCGAGACTGAACGTTGACCTCGAACGGCTTCGGGTGGCTAGAGTTGGCGGCAGTCAGTCCGCGTTGATGTCCACTGACAATACAGATACGTACACAACAAGGCCGCTCTCTATGAACTCGTCAAACTTGGGAACTTGACCCTCGGGGTTAACGAGCGAGAATGCCCACAGGCACGTCGCCATCTCAATGAGAAGACTGTTGTTGGCGACATGCTTGCCGATGCAGATACTGTGTAGGCAGTGGTCAGTCGTGAACACCGTGAGGAATGATCGTCAGCATCGCATACTCACCGGCGACCGAAGCCTGTGACGCGCAGTCAGTACACTACATGCACACCAGGACACGACATAACAGACCGAAAGTATGGTGACTGTCTTCCTTCGTACCTGGAAGACCCGGCAAAAGCTTTCCTTCCTTGTCGAGATGACGAGCAGGATTGAACTTGTGAGCATCGTCGCCGTAGATAGCTGGATCTCGATTCATCTCCCAGACGTTCGGGATGACCATCGTCCCTTTGGGGATGAAGAATCCCTTGTAGAAGTCGTCTTCGATACTGGTGTGAGGTCTACATGAGCGCAAGTGAGCATGTGGCGCATCGAAAATAACCGGAGAAAAGGTTACGCGGCTATCGGGAGCATGGGTTGCCAGCGAAGAATCTCTTTGACCATAGCCTGAATGTAGCATAACTGAGGCATATCCGCGAAAGTCGGCACGCGCGCACGCCCGACGATGAGATCTAACTCCACTTGAGCGCGCCTTTGACATTCTGGATAGGCCAGCATCGCGAGCGACCACCAGCTCATGGTCGAATAGGTAGTTTCCGACCCACCAACACTGTGCAGTGTATCAACGACTGTCGGACTTAGTGAACAGGCCGACTCACTACATAGTCGCCGCGATCCAGGCGTTTTGAAGCGAAGTCAGTCCAAGTCGAGTGGCACTATGGCATAGAGTTGAGCAGAGCGAGGGTCGCTCGTCACATTTAGCCTGTATGCTGATCAGCTGACACGCGGATTCATCCGAAACTGATCTCTACCATGTTATGCTGAACGTGCTCGTAGAGGCTCAGGAATATTGCCCCATCCTTCCTCCTTGAGTCTTGTGCTGCGCGTTTCCATGGTGCGAGTAGGCTTGGTATATGGCGCATCCAAGGCAGAACTTCAACCTTGGAATGGGTCAACGATCGAAAGATCACTAGAGGATAAGTAATGCGTACCCAGTGCGCTCCAGGAGCGGCAGCGTGCATCAATCGGTCAGTGAAGTCATTCACATGATGCAGTCGCGCATCTTGTGGGCTCACAAGCTACGGCATGTGAGTAGGCGGCTCGCATACACGCATGCTATACCCAACACGTACCGGAGGCTCATCATATATGCAAGACATGGCCAAACTGGCGGAGGCGCGACGCAAGTGTCCATCCCAGGCGGCAGGGTCCTCTAGAGCGTCGCGTGCAAGCAGCACAGCTTCCAGTGACTGATATCCGTGGAAGGTATGAGCAACAACTTTCTTGAGACTCTCATGTCCCGCCTTGCGCATGCGTCGCCATCTGTACAAGCATGAGCACACATGCCATCGACATCCTGATATACACCTACAGGTCACCATAACGGGTCAGAGCCATGAATAGACCGTTCGTCATGAGATCGCAGGCGACTATCAGTGCAGGCCGATCAGAGTATATGCCCGCACGATGATCAAGTAGCTCAATTGCATCTTTGCTGTTGTTGAGGACCACGATGGGCTGACCAACAGCTTCCAGATATATAATATCGCCTGTACGCGCCGCACTGTTCAACCCTATTCCAGCAAGAGCAGCTTGTTGCGACGTACCATATTCTTTCCTCCAGGAACTATACTGTAGCCATTGGGCGCCAGCCACTTGTAGTGCATTCCCGATGATCGGTAAGCCCCGCGGTCCTGGAGGCAACTTACGCCAGGGACTTTGGAGGTATCGTACTCCCCGAAATACGACAAACCCCACTATAGCGCCGATAGCCAGCACAGGGTGCTCGCCCACACTTTGAATAACCCGACGAGCCAAGGGTATGCTGATCAGGACATCCGAGATACCTCTGTGCGTCATGGCCGTGTGCGTCAGCGAGTACTTGTAGTGATGGACCCGTCGCCAAATGACAGAAGCCTTAAGAAAGCCTCGTCAGGGCCACGAACGGATTCTACTGTGTGCAATCAGTCAGGCGCGCGTGTGCAAAGATCACGTCGCAAAGAAGTCTCTTCGCCAAAGACGGCACGGCGTAGAGCCAGCGCTCGTTGAATCGCGACTTCGCCTTCTATTACGCACACACCATAGCCATTTGAGCAAAGTCTACTCCTCAACCACGACGTGTCAGGCACTAGCTGATACGAGTTCTGAGTGTCCTTCCCAGGTGTGAGACTGACAGAAGATAGAGTCGTACGTACGCAGAAGACAGGTCATATGGATCTTGCCCATCGCGGCACCTGGACTCGTCGGATAACGTTATACCGTCCAGCGTTGAGATGTACACGGACTCGTCGCGGGTATCAAGCACGGGACATGGGTTCCGACCTGAGATACGACAAGAGGCTCCGTACGAGTGTGCACTAGAGATGGTGCCGCCAGCGTCGGCGACGCTGACGACAATGGCACGATGGTGGCTTGGAGTGAAATGTTTGAATCGCGACGCGTCGGCCCAGAGTCCGACGGCCTGCCTGACCCGATCCAGGTGACACGAGCGCGAGCGCGCTCGCACCCCGCATGCGCTTTGCCCTTCTCCTTCCATGACAGGAACACCGTTCTGGGGTACAACTTTCAGCGCTCAGCTCCAGATCCTACACTGAGTCTGCGATCAGGGCCATCCGCATCTGGCCGACATCCAGCTAGCGCTCGCGCGTCGGAATGCTAGAGGCGTGGCGTGTTATTAGGTGATCTCACTGCTCGGTCTCGAGATCTCATAGCTCATCCGAACACCGCATGTTCCAGGTTACAGTGAACGTGATGTCCTTATACCAGCGTTGCTCCACCGAAACCGACTGTGCGTCTACGACGAAGCGGATTCGCCGCGTCAGATCTGGTCCGGCAAACAAGCATTCAAGCGAGCTGTGTCGTGTAGGGCGCGACGCTTGCATAGGACAGGTTTACAATATGCCGAGGTACGTCGTAGAAAGGCTCAGCATATTAATGCATCTGAAGTGACCTTCTAGATTACCGCGTTACAGTTCCGTCATGGGTGCGCTCATTATTTGACTCTCCCGCGTCCGTCCAACCATGCCATACTACCCTAGTTTCATGCACTCCTCGGTCACAGATCTGACAAGCTCCAATACTGTTACCGTAGTGTGAACTCCCATATATTATACATCCTCGGTTCACACCCGTGACTATGTTATTCAGGAAGATGCACCGCGCCTGCGCCTGCGCTCACACCATCGGTCTCTTGAGTCTTTTGCCAAGTTTTCACATTTGACTCTACGACTATGACGTCTAAGATGAAGGCGCCTCGCTCTATACTTGAGGATGTAAATACAGTGAATGGGCGACGAAATTGTACTAAGCGACGGTAGCTCAGCCCACAAATAGGCCTAGTTACACACGGGGGCTAGTCTGAGCTGCGTTCAGGTTACCGACCGCGAAGCTCGCACTCCTGAGTCAATACGGCCAAGGCCTCCGGGAAGCGAGGCTGAACATCAACCTCGAACGGCTTGGGTACACTGCGGAACAGTCAGCCCTTGGTGATCGATATACGGGAGGATTTACGCACACAACGAGACCCTCGTTCACGCAACCATCTGCGCTGGGGCTTTGGCCCTTGACATTCACAAACGTGAAGGCCCATAGCGAGATGGCTATATCGATGAAGAGGCTGTTGTTCGCTACATGCTTCCCGACACAAATTCTATAGCGTGGACGTCAATCATGCACAATACGTCCGATAGATGGCCATTAGCTCACCGCCTGCCGAATCCTGCGCGCCGTCAGCTTAAGCTGCGTGCAGGAGACAGGAAGGACTCACCGAATGCATAATGCCCGTCGTCTTTCGAGCCAGGAAGAGTTGTCAAGAGCTCGCCTTTCTCGTTGAGAAAGCGGTCGGGGTTGAATAGGTGAGCATCATCACCGAACGTCGCCGGGTCGTGATTCATTTCCCAGACGTTAGCAAAGACAACGGCCCCCTTTGGAATGAAGTATCCCTCGTAGAAGTCGTCCTCGACGCTTCTGTGAGGTCTACAATGAGAAACTCTGTGTGAGCGCAAAGGACGAGGTGTTGAGCAACAGCTACGTACACTCCAAGGGGTGTTACCGGTCGCCAACGGATCGATTCCTTGATGATCGCGCTGATGTAGGGAAGACGTGGCATGTCGGCGAATGTGGGTACCCGTGCGCGGCCAACAACGGAATCTAACTCGTCCTGAGCGCGCTTCTGAACCTCGGGGTGAAGTAGCATGGCGAGACTCCACCAGCTCAACGCCGCGCGAGTGGTGTCCGAACCTGCGGCACTTTGACACCTATTCAGCCACTCTCCAAGAACTCGCGAAGAGAGAGAAACGTACTATACGGATGCAGCTAACCACACATTCTCGTGCGTACTCAATCCGTAGCGGTCTCGGTCATGGATCAATGTCGCGGAGAATGAGGCTCGTTCGGCCCCGTTGTCCTGCGTAGCCGTCAGACAACCTCGAGCTTACTGAGTGTGGCTGTCATTTACGTACTATGCTCTCCTGTACGCGACCGAAGAACTTGGAGAACAGAGCGTCAGAACGCCTGTAGAATGCCTCAGCTTCCCGCTTCCAAGGAGCAAAAGCGCTCGGTATATGGCGCATCCAGGGCATGACTTCGACCTTGATGGACCCTCAGTTTCAGACGCTAGTGTCGCGCTAGAGCGACATACCAGATACGCTCCGGGGGCAGCAGCAGAGGAGGCGGTTTGGGCGAACTCGTTGATCTGTTTGACACGAGTGTCATGCTCATCCAGTGCCTATGTCAATAGGTGAGATGAAGGCACAACCTTAAGATCTTGCGGTAAGCACGAACCGGCGACTCATCGTACACACTGCGAAGCATTGTGCTCGCGGTAGCGTTGCGAATGAACTGATCCCATCCCGCCGGGTTCTGTAGCGTATTCCGTACAAGAACAACAGCCTCCTCCATCTGGTACTCGTTGAGGCCGTGCGCCACGACCTTATTGAGCGCTTCGTGTGATGCTTTGCGCATTCGTCTCCATCTATCATCTGGGAATCGGCTTCCTGCTAAACCGCGCTAGACAGCGATTATTTTAGCTGGGTTTAGTTGTGTCCTCTAAGCCACTAAAAGCCGGGTAAAGTCGTGACAGAGACCGATATCCGATAATACCACCTCCTTAGCATATTTGCGGGCCACTTTCTGTCCTACCACTCTGACTCGCGCCTCTGCAATGAGACGTGCAATTTCGAGAACCCCTGATACTCGAGGCTTATACATCTATTGATGAAGTTTGAGGGTACATATATACCTAGTACCTGTACATGGCTCGTATGGGAACCATAAGCCTCGATGAAGAGGATACACTACTCAGTGTACGAGGTGCAGACTCCAATAAGTACTGGACGGCGAGTGAGCAAGAGGGAGTCAAGTCAAGAGCGACACGACCTGACGAAAACGCCCAAGTCGGAAATCGCGCGGCAACGCGCGGCTTGTCAGCGTGATGCCGTCACCTCCGGCTTCCGTTCGTCAGCGTGCTCAATTACCGCTTGCCTCCTACCGCCACGTCTCCTCACTGCACAGCAAACTATCGTTCGCCTCCAGGCGCTTGAATCAGTTGGCGGC